AATCCTGCTACAGAACACTACTCAGAGATATTTGGCTATTAATGTTCACTCGAATGGGGTGTGCGATAGACTTACCTCCACGTGGTGCACCCTGGGCAACATATACTCATACGGCAAAAAAGTCTATTAACCAGTAGTTGACTTCTCACTTAAAACTGCCATCACACCACTGTATGACATATTCCAACACTTTCACAGTACTCACCTTCACTTTTTCCCTACCTTTGTGTCTGTCTATCTCATTTGCATCTGTGAATCGCTCTTCTGTTCCCCACACCCCGACTTTCTGCTACTTTGATGAACCTTCCCTTTGTGAAGCCCGAAGTCAGCTAAATGGCTAATGATAGTAATCTAAACGCCTGCCATTTGAAATAAATAAATGTTCATTCGAATTATGCTAGATTTATCTGATAACTAATCGTTTTGCCAAAATCACACTTCGCTATCAATATACGTACTGAATAAACGTGCTCCGTGCTACACGTCTGTTTCCTTTATAGCTGGACTATAGCTTAGCTGGTTCTGGGAGTCTAGCTAGATGTTGGAGAATCTGTCATAGAGATTTCTGAGTCGGTCAGGCTTTACTAGCGTAGCAATCCGCTACAATTCGCATTCCAACAGTGCATTAAAGGATGCCTTTCTTTTCAAAAGTGTAGATAATATATTCGCATCAAGCTACGACTATCAGTCTTTGAAAAGCTAATATTTTGATGCAATGATCTCCAATAAAATGGTTAATGGCGCTTTTGATCACTTCCCCAACTGGTGACTTTCGTAGATTCACTCATCTTACAAATCGTTTGCTAAATTTCGTTGGTTGCCATCATTTCCTCTGATGCCATCAATATCATTTCATTCCACCGAAATGCTCAATTTGGCAAACTTGAGCTTTGATCTCTCCACACATTTTCTAATGATATAGTAGCTCTAAGTCATCCCCTTAACGTCCATAGGACTGTGTGATAACCCTTCAAAATGTGCTCTATTGGTACTAAACTCGTAACAGAAGGCACTATCGCCGTTTGAAACATGCTCAATACACCTTCGCCTGATACCACAATAACTCACAACATCGGCAGGATCAATCTGCTGAGACCCGTGAGTGCAATTTGTTTATAATAGATAGCAACTTCAGGACATTATTCCCAGGAGGAAGATCTCCTTCAAGTAGTGCTAATCTTAACCCCCAGGCATTTATTAAATAACTGCAATGAGCCTTATGCTCCACAAAAATTAAAATAAAGGGAATTAGAATTGCCGAAAACTTTGAGTATTCAAGATCACGAAAGATAGTGTCGAAACATGAATGGCATATCTTATTGACAAAGGCATCTCAAGGATGGTAAATATATATATATATATATACAAACGGAGATGGGGCGAATTTAAGAAGACTGGGGAGGCCTGGATTAACGTTTGGCTTTCCTCTTTCCCTTTCCGCCCTTTTTGGCTAGATTCTTCAACCTAGCTTGATTCTGCTGGTCTCTCTTGCGTCGCTGTTTCAAAATCTGCTCAGGTTTTCGCAATTGACCAAAAGTCCTACTACCTCTAGCCTCCTTGATTCCCTTGTTCTCAGCCAAAGCGCGCTTCTTTGCCGCGTTCTGAAGGGTTTTGTTGACTAAAATGAAATAAAGGCATGTAATAAATTATCAATTTAGAATTTATTTAGAAACCTGGAGGGACATAGTTGTGGCGATGACTCGAATCTTTCAAGATTTTGTACTTTGTCTCCCCACCTTCGATCGAAAATCGCCTATTCTTGGATTTTCATACTTCCACTAACCAGTAGGTACGAAAATGGGACAATTTCTAATGCACAAATGTACTTTCAAAACAGCCCTATACCCACTTGGACTCAACAATCTTAAATTCAGCTCCCCCCCCCTTGTCTTGCCGTGTAAGCATGACGATTAGGATGTGCGAATTCTTTCATCTTCGCCTCTTTCGATACTGGTACAATAAGACAAAATCATTTACAGTCAGTTCTCTAAATCTGGACAACTATTTACGCAATGTAGCGATCCAAAATGTGGGTTTGGGACATCCCAGTTGGCATTAGGAAGTGCCAATTGTATCACAAGAAACTCACTCCCGTAGCATTCGCACAAAAACCGCCAGTAAAAGTGAACAATCTTCCCCTATCGTTTATTGTTAAATGAGGCCAAGTCATTCGCTTTCGACACCCCTCAACGTCCCTTTGGGTCTAGATTTGTGCGTAACCAGTGTGTAAGCACAATCTCTTAGATGTAGGAGTCGCTGGAGTAGTAATAAACATTACATCAAATCATCCATAAACTCTCCAAAAATTTTGTCAACAGAAATTGTGAAAGAATGCTAAATTTTAAATAAAAAACAATACGATACCGAAAAACTAAAAAATTCGATTGAAGTAGTATGCTTACATCGAGAAGAAGTGCCCACAACTTTAATTCCACCTCGATTAGCTACACCATCACTTTGGCCTTGAGAGTTCCTTCTATTGTTGTAACGATCTCCATCTACATTCGTTTTTCCACCTTTCTTCAATTTGGACCACCGGCCATTTGAGCGCCGATTGAATTTCTCGTCATTGCCGTCCTCATTTTCCGAATCCATGAATTCCACAACACTTCCATAGCGAGCATTGAAGAGGCTGGTGAATTTCTGTCCTTTGCTTTCTTCCAATTTTGGTTTCTTTTTCTGTGTATCCAACGCCTCAAGAGGCTCACCAGGAGTGTCTGCGCTGAACTTTGTATTTTTAAGCCACTTGGCGTACAAATCGGTCTTGTAGGAGGCTGGAATGATCGCACCGGACTCAGTCTTGATTCGAGCTTTGTTTGCAGTGCCCGCGGCGACATCAGCGTTCACGTAGCGGCGTTTCTTGCGATCCCACACCTGTTGTAACCTCTTGGAACCAACGGCACGGCTAGAGGAACAGCGAACAGAGGTATATATGAGAATTACGAGCCCAATTAGAACATTAGTAAATTGAAAATTATCAGGCAATTAGTACGAGTTACACATTATGAATAACAATTAGGAAATAAACATGTTAGCTAATTCTTGACAATGTCAACATCAAACACCACGGACAAGATTTAACTATTTGGAAAAGTCAGGTTTTAGTTTTAGTCGAATAACTTATACCATTTGTTGCAAAATTTGTGGAATAGGGTTGTTATGAAGACTGGGAACTACGTCTCAGGACCGATTATACAGAGAGCGACAAACGAGTTGAAGACAGTTGTCGAAGGGAAATTCCACAAGATAGAAGAGAGGATAACAAAACGCTACGTAGAACTAAAAGGAGAGGGCTTAGGCCAGTGTTAAGATGAGAAAACAAAAGCGCGAAGGTAGACAAAAAACCAAACTAGTTAAATATTCTTACCATCGTCATCTTCTAATAGAAGAGCGTGCAACCTATTTAAACAATAATGATGTTGTCTGACGATAATGTGGGCCATCTTCTATTGAATAACTGCTCTAGGATATTGAGGTAATCACCGAATCAATATGGAAAATATCAAAATCACGGAAGTACAACCACGAATTTGGAAATAAATAGTGGGGACCTAGAAACTAAAACAAGACTCAAGAGGCCTATCCAACTACCCTTACATAGACGAACTCTCAATAATTCGGGAATACGAATGTTTACCTTTGGACCATTCCAACTTCATCTGCCTGGATGTCCAATCGAGCACCTTGAGCGGAGATAGCAAAATTGTTGACTCCAGCATCTAGCGAACCAGTCTGAGTACTCAAACCCCTCTCGGTAGCTTCGTCCAACAATGAAGGACCAGTTGGTACAAAGAAGGTACTTCCTGGAGCCGGTCTTATCTCCTGAAAGGAATGAAAATAAAACAGAAAGGTCAGATTTCTGGTGGCAACTGAATAGCATTTTAAATTTATTAAATTAACCTATTAACCGTTCATGAGCTACTCAATTACTGTCGTCAAAATAAATAGAAGGGAATTCCAGATTACGCTTAAACAATCACCCAATCTTCTGCTAGTGATATGCCTAACCTCATGAAAATCACTTAACTGCGAATGGTTCAAATGAATCTGTTAGAAAAGACCTGAAGTTTGTTGATGAAGGATCTGTAAGCACATAACCTGGGCATATCGAGTCTCATACGTGAGACATTCGCAATTAATTGCAATAATTACTATTAACAAGCCATTGGATGTGTGGATCTATGCACTGGAAGACGTGAGTATTTGCCGTCGAGCCACTGTTTCCACTATTTCAACAAAATCTTCTAGAATCTTAGACGATAGAAAGATGAAAACACCTATCAGCTGTTCGAACCTGAAAGTCTTCTCCAACAGGCAATCTAGAATACTGGCAGTGTGTGGTGTATATACAAGTGTAGAAAATAGATTGTAGCTTTTCTAACACCTTTTTTCAAATAATCTCACTATGCTTACCTCCCAAAATAGCTACCAATGTCGAATTAAACTCCCGTGAAATCCATTTAGACTACTACTACTAAACGAGTTTCGAAATAGTAACAGTAGGCCTAGATGTGAACTTCGACATGTGGCGAGAATGCTTGTCAAAGCGTTTAGACCAACTTACGTCTGAATGTTCTTCATCCGCTTTCTTCTTCCTTTTAACAGTCGCCTTAGCTTTGGCTAGTGCCGCTGCCTCTTCAACTCGTTTTTGTTCCTTCTGAGCCTTCAATTTCTCTGTGGACTTGGCGATTAGATTGTCATGGATGCGACGTTTCTGTTGCATTGTCTGGAAAGCTTCAGGGTTTGTAGTTTTGCCCAATGCTTCAAAGATGGTCTAGAAAGAGTAAAGGAAGGTGGAAGAGATTAGTTAGAATAAACATAATAATGACAAGTAACTAAGAAAAGTAGTAGATTTAAGCACCGGCAGATTGCGATTACGGAGCGATTCCAATATCTCTTCTTTTTTCGTATCGATTTGGGAAAGCTGAGAACCTAGAGCAAAAAAAGCATAAATTAGATTGCCTACTCAAACTAGTTTCGATTTAGAGTAAATACAGCCATCATGAGAAATCATGAAGAAATCACAATAGAAAGCAATCATATCGAGATATAATTAACTTAGGACAGAAAACCAGAATAGTCAAGAAACTATTGGGATTAATCATAGTCACCGCTTAGAAAAGGTTTTATAAAAGTAAGATAGTAGCATATTAGGACACTAACAAGGCGTGGTGTAGCTTATACATAGACAATTAAATCTCCATATTCGCATCAAACTTTTCAACATCGACGAATGGGTAGAAGGCAAAGATAGTGTTGAGGACTATCCATGAAGATTCGATCATGTATTCTAAATACCTCATCTCCACTAGAAGCAGGTATATATAACTTTGATCTTGACAATATAATGGGATGGCTGAACTCCTCGTTTTCGACTGCATTCACCATCCACCCTCGTCCAACTCCTCACATCTTGTAAGGAAGCAAAATCAAATATCTTCTGCTCCCTCGAAAGAAACTCGTAAGCTTCCTCTCTCTCTCTCTCTTGCATTGGATTGTCGGTGATTGGATTTCTACTCTCACATCTATATGCTTAAAGCAGTCAGTGAAGAATTAGGTGCTGCAGTTGTTGTTGGCTAACCAAATAACCGATCATTTATTACATATACATGACACTTTATGTTCCTCATGAAAAGCGTCGTTTTGAGAAATATATGAATACTCCTCTGGAACTAAAATTCCTATTTAATATCATTTAAGATAATTTCGGATAGACGGATGCAAGAAGCAATAACAAGATTAGAGCTAAGAAAATGAAACTTACCAAATATTGGATGTGGAGTAAGTGTAGACAAGTTCAGTCGCAACTCCTTTGCCCGTCGAACAGACTCCGTGCTAGCCTTCGGCCGAATTGAAGCGTACTTCTTTAGAGCGCGCTTACACACCGCTGAAGCGGAAGCCTGAAAATGAATTAAAAGGCGATGAAAGAACTTAATCCTTCAACTTAAATAAGCGTCTACAAAGCGAAGTAGCATTAGGCCAGAAGTAAATGAATGAAAGAAAAACAATCGTTTTGAGTAACAGGATAGGACCATGCTACCTCCTTGACGATGAAATCCAAATTCCCCACTTTTTTATAAGCCACATTTTACCAATACGATTATCCATCCCATTCCCTGTGTGTGTAATAATAAACACCAAACTCGTGATTTCGGACTTCGGAGAAGACCATGTTAACCTCTGTACGTTAATTAGGGCAAACCTTTCGACCTAAAAATACTGACTACTACCGGGCATTAGCGGCTTTAGACACGAGTGGTCAAAGTTCACTTCTGGAATGTCACGTGATTCGTGTAAATCTAGTGATGTGAGACTAACAGTTCTATCGAATTTCGGTCAAATAAAGATCAACTCCAGGCTACCCTCCATCTCCTCAATGAATTATGTGAATCCTAACTGATTTGAGAAGTTCAATAACAAATGGGGAGGAAATCGAAAGGAACCTGAACTAACAAGAGAAGCATTGTCCGTTTCTCTCCTTGAAACAGCTTCAATATCCAAGGCAATTAGGTCTCGTGGACAGGATCCAAGTAATTCATTTGGCCAATCAGAGTCGTTAGTTTGCGCAACTGCATCGGAACCACTAACGTGGGAGGTGATGAGTTGACGACCCAGGAATACGAAAAGATCAATCAGGTAAGGCAATTCATCCGAGTCAATAAGAGAAATTGACATTCCTGTACGACCAGCTCGAGCAACTCGACCTGTAAAAATGGGAAGAAATTAAAATAATCGTCCCAGTGAAGCAAATATTCAATCGATTTATCCCCATAATGAACTGCGAACACCATCTTTACCAGATCCTAATAAAAGTATTCAAGCCTATGTCGACATAAAAATTTGCCTGAAGTGAATGGCGGTAATTTAAAAGGTTTCATCATCGAGATCTTGACACCTCTAATGCCCAAAATTCTTTTCAGTAAACCAATTAAAATTAGCTTTCAGGGCTAACGAGTATGCCAGAAGTGTTAAAGGTTACTGGTTCAAGATCCATCATCAAAAAAATGACAAATAGTCAACCAATAGTGGGAACTTTTAAATCACAGATTCTAGAATAGGTATTGGAAATAGTTTTGTGTGCACCGATGCATACTTTTCAAATTAGATAGGCGTTTATCAGTGCCCATGCAATGATGTGGACGGCTGACAATGCTAAATAATTCTAACGAAAAAAGTAATGGCATAATGTGAGTTTCGCAGGAGCGACTCCAAGAAACCTTCCGTCTAATCAAGAGTGTTCGGAAACGCCTCCCTAAATAACTTTAACAAGTTTGCAAAGCAATATACTCCAACAGAGTAACTAAAAAAGGATGGTGGAAATGCACAATGTGGGGCAATACGAAGATAGGAAGGCAGATTTTCAAGATAGGCAAGCATTAATGCGCAAATGCATGGAAATAGAAAAATATCACGTGTATTATGTTAGCTGTAGTGAAACAGCAGACCAACAAAATGGAGTGAGTCAAGATGTATGGACAAGAATGCTAAGGCACTCAAGGGTTTGGAGCTCATTAGTCCTAAAAAGGGAGTACGTCCATGACCAAGATTAACGACAAAATGATTTAATGTCTTCCCTCAAAGCATACGCCTCCCAGCTCATGACATCAAGCTATCCTAACCAAATACAGTTCCATTAGACGTATCGGCATTACCTAGACTCCATTTCCACCACGTAGTAAATAAAATGGGTGTTCGGAAAAAACAATTTGAATAGTAGTATCTTGGTATTTTTCCAAATGATTTAAAGGTATGCACACTCACTAAATATGGGCATCTATTCTTCGAAGACATACCGTCACTGGCACAAAACGTACGATGAATATAAAGGTTTTATTTAACTCACCAACTCGATGAACAAAGAGCTTAGGTTGGGCCGGGAAGTGGAAATTAATGACATTGTCCAAAATAGGGATATCGATACCGCGAGCAGCCAAGTCGGTGACAAGCATACAACGAATATGACCATAGCGAAAATTTCGGACGGCCATGTTTCGAGCTACAGGATCGAGGCCAGAGTGTATCACTGTGCAATCGATACCGAAATCTTTGAATACCTTGAAATAAGACAGCAATTTGTTGGCATAAATACATGGTAAAAAATGAGTTTAAACTGACGATAAAAATGAATTGTTCGATAAAACCCCCCCCCCCGATATGGTACATATGGTAACATTAGATATACAAAAATACATACCAATTCCATATAATCTACATGATGTTTCGTCGCAAAGAATATGACCACTTTTTCATTATCAGGGATGAGTGTCTTGAGTAAATGGATTAGAAGAGCCTCCTTCTCAAATGGATAACAAGTAACGAAAGCCATTTTCAAATTTTCACTCAATTTAGTGTCCACATCAAGTCGTATCAAAGCCGGTTCAGTGAGACCAGCCTGAGCGAATTCCAACAACGCCCCAGGAAGAGTAGCTGAGAAGATGAGCGTCTGACATTTCGACGGAATTCGATGCAGGGTTTCCTTTAATTGGTCCGCAAATCCTAGTTCGAACAGTCTATCTCCCTCATCAAAAACTACATACTCAATTGATCGTAGAGATAAATTCATTTCCATAATGACATGCAAAAGACGACCAGGAGTGGCAATGATACTAGAAAGTGGTAATAAAGCATTATTAACTAACTTACATATCTGGGTTCTGGCGAATTGCCATGAATTGATCTTCCATTCTAAAGTTAATATGTTAAGAGAAAGGGAGATATTATAAACATACTTATCACCACCAACAATAACGGCAGCTACAAGATTCGTGTATCGACCAATCTAAAAAAATTTATAAGTAACAGAAAAGTGACAAACAAAATTATAGTAAATTATTTGAAGACATACATCTCTTGTGAAAGCTAGGGTCTGCATAGCCAATTCGCGAGTAGGGCTAAGGAGAAGAGCTCGAGCACCAGAATCCTGATGAACTTTGAGTCTCTCCAAAAGAGGAATGAGAAAAGCTGCAGTCTTCCCACTGCCCGTTCGTGCCATTGCCACTACATCACGACCAGACATAATTACTGGAATGGCTTTGCGTTGAATAGGTGTTGGAGCCAAATATCCCTTTTTGGCAATCCCACTAAAGATCGGTTGGCTCAATCCCATAGCCTGAAAACCCCCGGCGCGTTTCTTATTCTTACGGTTAGCTTTTTGGACGAGTTGACGCACTTCATTAACGTCTATATCAAATTCATCTGACGATTCACTTGCTGACATTTCTTAACCTAAAGGAGCAAAATGCGGGGAAATAAGTTCTAAATCACTTATTATAATGACGATATTCAAAAAAGGCATTTTAACTTTACAATAAAGCAAACCACGTGATAGAAAAGTAGCCAGAAGGCAAGGCCCAAAAGCAAAGCCCGCGGAAATACGAAAGGACTAAAACGGCTAATTTCATGAATGAAAGTGAACAAGAAGTAAATTAAATTATGCAAAATATCATTCTAAATATTTTATAAACCTTTTACTATTAATTAAGCTTAAATTAAATTTCGAACTTATACAAAAATTCTTAAAGATATTCTTAAATGAATTTAATAACTGATCGAACATATTGCTAATTTTAACATTAGAATCTTAATTAAATATTTGCCATATTTTTTTATGTCAACATTTTATATCTCTAAGATGTCGATAACTTATCAGAACGGATTCCAAGAATATTACTATTTACTATCACTTCCGAATATAGGACAATTATCTTTTTTCTATAAGTTAAGTAATTATACCGCTCAAAAGCAATAATTAAAAATTACTCTAAATAGGTATTAAAATTTAATATTACACTAAGGAAAGTTTCTGATGTTGTACAACTGCCACTCACTAGCGGATTTGTAATTCCGTGCCACATTAGAAGAATTGTTAGTACTAACAATTCAAAAAATATCTTTATGGTTGAAACAGCTTACTGCCTTGCTCTTTGCGAAGATGACATCTGCATTTATGTGGCATAAATGGCTAATGAATTATGTTTCAATGAGCTTTTCTATGACTAGAATAAGGGTAAGTGTATTCAGATAAATTTGAAATATTAGCTTTCGACATTCGTCAGATATCATTTTTACATGTATATTTGTCCTAATAAGACTAAACAAACAATAAAGAATCTAAAAGTTGGAGATAATTGTAACTTTTATGGAAATGCGAATCTTAATTTTTTGGTATGTCATTCGTTAACCCGTATTGGAAACACATGTATATCGATCAACTTAAGTTCAATGAGAAGATTGCAAGAAATGCATTACACAAAGAGCACTATATATGAAAAGGCCAGTAATTCAACAAAAATCACATAATATGGAATGTCAAGGGAAGATATTGAAATGTTGCTGTTACTTCAACAGTTAACCTATATGAAAATTGTGAAGTGCAGTAGATCTAAATTTTATTAAAATGATGTAAGATTAAAACTTGTTATTCTTTATGCATACTAATAAGTTTGGTAAAATATTTAATAATAATCGGTTTGAATTAATGATGATTTTGCCACTTATGTTTACCGTTGTTAGTAAAGATTATTAAATTTTAAAATAGAAATTTTCAATTCCAAAATTCCGCTATTTTTTCATAAATCACATTATGTTAAGTATTTGAACAGTCCTTGTATCCACCAATTAAACCGTTCGGCGTAGGGTAAAGTGTGGAATCCGCCTCTCAGCGTTCGTTTCGTTTTCCCTTCCAGCAGAAGTCCTACGTAGTACTAAAAATGTCCGTATCGATGCCTATAAAATTTCAAGAGCACTTACAGGTATTCTTTTATTGTTCGATATTTTTAATCCCTTCTATAAAATATTGATATCTATTTTTCTTTCCTTAGCTCGTCAATGTTGGCATTCAACCTGCCAGCATTAGCTTTAATACCTTAACTATGGAATCTGATAAATTCATTTGTGTACGTGAAAAAAAAGGCGATGGTCAGTATGTTTTTGTAATTGACATGAATGATCCCAATAATCCAACAACACGTCCAATCACTGCTGATTCAATTATCATGAATCCTGTAAGCAAAGTGATGGCTCTCAAATCAGAGGGTGTCTTACAAATCTTCAATATCGAACTTAGAACTAAGATGAATATGTACAAAATGACTGATCCTGTCATTTTTTGGAAATGGATTAACCCTAATACCATCGCTTTGGTTACTGCAGGATCTGTCTTTCACTGGTCAATCGAAGGTAGGAGTTAATTTTCACCATTAGTCAATAATGCATATATTATAGAAGGTTCAACACCTGTTAAAATGTTTGATCGCCATGGCTCATTGGCCAACACACAGATTATCAATTATCGAACCGACGAAAGCTGCAAATGGCTACTTTTAATTGGTATCTCCGTTCAAGATAGTCGGGTTGTTGGTTCAATGCAACTCTATAGTGTCGATCGTAAAGTTAGTCAACCGATTGAAGGTCATGCGGCAGCCTTTGTTCAATACAAGGGCGAAGGTCAACCTAACCCAACTACTCTGTTCTGCTTTGCGGCTAGATCAGCCCAATCATGCAACCTCCATATTATTGAAGTCGGTCAAGCCCCAGAAGGCAATCAGCCATTCGCAAAAAAGAATCTGGATGTTTACTTCCCTCCTGAGGCCGTTAATGATTTCCCTGTTGCAATGCAGGCTTCTCAGAAGTATGCTGTTGTGTTTCTAATCACCAAAAACGGTTATTTACACATCTACGATATTGAATCTGGGACGTGTATCTATATGAATCGCGTTAGTAACGAAACTATCTTTGTGACGGTGCCATATGAGGCGACATCTGGTATTATGGGTGTCAATCGAAAGGGTCAAGTTTTATCAGTCAGTATTGATGAGGATAATGTGATTAATTACATCAAAAGCACGTTGAATAATCCTACTCTGGCTTTCCGCTTTGCTGCAAGATGTGGCCTTCCTGGTGCGGATGATCTTTTCATCAAAAAATTTGAGTCACTTTTTGCCTCTGGTCAGTACGCGGAAGCCGCTAAAGTTGCTGCAAGTGCACCGAATGGGATTCTTCGAACTCCTAAGACGATTCAAAAGTTCCATCAGGTTAGTTAGTCAACTCAAAGTTATCTAATCAGTACTTCGGTTGAGGTTGTTCGGGGTTGTTGAATTAAAAATTTCTCATATTAGCAAATGGTTTGGACTTCATTTCGATTATCGGTTTATTTATATTTTTCATTGAGACCTTGAAATTTGCGTGAAAATTGCCTTGAATGACAGTTTTCGTAATTGAGTGGCTAAAGAGCTTGATATCAAAACTATGTTCTCATTTATAGTAGCATTGTGGCTAAGGTGTAGTCAGTAAAAGTTAGGATTTTGGCCTCTGTACTTAACTGTTATTCTTCCTCTGTTTAGATTCCAAATCAAGTCGGCCAGACTTCGCCTCTTTTCCTTTACTTCGGTATTCTAATCGATCAAGGACAACTGAATAAGTATGAGAGCTTGGAACTTTGCCGTCCTGTTCTACAGCAGGCTAGGAAACACCTCATTGAAAAGTGGCTCAAGGAGGACAAACTTGAATGCTCTGAAGAGCTTGGTGATCTCGTGAAACAGGTTTGTGTTTGGTTTTACTATCTTTTGATGTAATTCAATTTTCAATTTACATTTTGAAAATGGACAAAGGACTTACATGATTGGTAGACTGATGTTCCATTATTTCCCAGCTAGCCAGTGTTTACCAGTGACCTTAGCCACCTCTTAATTGTTTCCAAACCCTTTAATTTGACGTGGTAACTCTCCTTTAATCGCTAATGGTATTTCACCTTATTATTGAACGCTATCTTTTTAATGTTTTAGGCCGATCCTACTCTTGCTCTATCGGTTTATCTTCGTGCAAATGTACCCCCGAAAGTTGTTCAATGCTTCGCCGAAACTGGTCAATTCCAGAAGATCATTCTTTATTCTAAGAAGGTTAACTATTCTCCAGAGTATATTTCCCTTCTTCGTAACTTGACCCGAATCAATCCTGATCAGGCTCTCCAATTTGCCCAAATGCTTGTTCAAGATCAGGAGCCACTTGTCGATTTGGAACAAGTTGTCGATGTCTTCATTGACCAGGGTCTGATTCAACAATGCACCTCGTTCCTTCTTGATGCATTGAAACACAATCGTCCATCAGAGGGGCATCTTCAAACCCGTCTTCTTGAGATGAATTTGATGTCTGCTCCCCAGGTCGCAGACGCTATTCTGGGTAACCAGATGTTCAGTCATTATGATCGAGCTGTCATCGCTCAACTCTGTGAAAAAGCTGGTCTTCTTCAACGTGCTCTAGAACATTACACCGATCTCTATGATATTAAACGTGCTGTCGTTAATACTCATCTTCTCACTCCAGAATGGCTTGTAAAATACTTTGGTTCACTGTCCGTAGAGGACTCTCTTGAATGCCTCAAGGCAATGCTTCAAGCAAATATCCGTCAAAATCTCCAAGTATGCGTCCAAATTGCAACTCAGTATCATGAACAACTGGGTACCAATGCTCTAATTGAAATCTTTGAGTCATTCAAATCATTCGAAGGCCTTTTCTACTTTCTTGGCTCTATCGTCAACTTCTCTCAGGACCCTGAAGTACATTTCAAGTACATTCAAGCCGCTTGCAAAACCGGTCAGGTAAAAGAGGTCGAAAGAATTTGTCGTGAGAGTAACTACTATGATCCAGAGAGGGTGAAAAACTTCCTTAAGGAAGCAAAACTCACTGACCAGTTGCCTCTTATTATAGTTTGTGATCGTTTTGACTTCGTTCACGACTTGGTTCTCTACCTCTACCGTAACAATCTTCAAAAGTACATTGAAATCTATGTGCAGAAAGTCAATCCTGCACGTTTGCCAGCTGTTATTGGGGGTCTACTTGATGTTGATTGTGCTGATGACTTTATTAAACAACTCATTGCTATTGTTAGAGGTTTGTTTCTCTTCTAAATTTTGCACTTTATGTTTAAACAGTGTATTAATATCATATTTTGTCCTTTTAGGACAATTCAGTACTGATGAACTGGTAGCAGAAGTTGAAAAGCGCAACCGCCTGAAGCTTCTTTTACCGTGGTTAGAATCTCGTATCCACGAGGGATCAGTGGAACCAGCTACTCACAATGCTCTGGCTAAAATCTACATTGATGCCAACAATAATCCTGAACGTTTCTTGCGAGAGAATCAATATTACGATAGCTACGTTGTTGGCAAGTACTGCGAGAAACGCGACCCCAATTTGGCATGCGTGGCTTATGAACGTGGGCAATGCGATAAAGAACTTGTGGCGGTGTGTAATGAAAACTCTCTCTTTAAAACTGAGGCTCGTTATCTTGTAAGAAGAAAAGATCCGGAGTTATGGGCAGAATGCCTGAGTGAAACTAATACTTATCGCCGTCAGTTGATCGATCAGGTTGTTCAAGCCGCTCTTTCCGAAACCCAAGATCCCGACGAAATTTCTGTTGCTGTTAAAGCTTTCATGGCTGCGGATATGCCTAATGAGTTGATTGAACTGCTGGAAAAGATTGTCTTAGATAACTCTGTTTTCTCTGACCATAGAAATCTTCAAAATCTTCTTATTCTCACTGCGATCAAGGCCGATCACAGCAAAGTTATGGAGTATATTTCCAAGTTGGATAATTATGATGCGCCGGATGTAGCTAATATTGCAATAACCCACGGTCTCTATGAGGAAGCTTTCGCCATCTTCAAGAAGTTTGAAGTCAATAGTCTTGCCATGAAGGTCCTCATTGACAACATTCAGAACCTCGACAGAGCCTATGAATACGCAGAGCGCTGCAATGAACCAGCTGTGTGGAGTTTGTTGGCTAAAGCCCAATTGAATGAAGGAGTTATTAAAGATGCTATTGACTCCTACATTAAAGCTGGCGACCCAGCCAACTACGATGAGGTGATCAAGGCTGCATCGGCTGCTAATAACTACGAGGACCTCGTTCGATATCTACAGATGGCTCGCAAGAAAGCCAGGGAAACTACTATTGATTCGGAGTTGGCCTTTGCTTTCGCCAAAACTGGGCGTCTTCCTGATTTAGAGGAGTTTATTGCCAGTTCTAATCATGCCAATATTACTACTGTAAGTTTTGCCTTTTTGTGATAATGCCACCACTGTAGTATGTGCAAGGTCATTAGGCTAAATTCTTGATCGAACAGTCGAGATCAGACATTTGGCTTTCTGCGGTATTTGTTAAGCATTTCTAACTGTAGCAATTTGAAGTTACATTTTAACTCTCCTAATGTAATTTATAAACCATTTAGTCACAACATGCTTATAACCCTTAAATTTATTTCAATTCTGTGTTTAATGGCCTTTATACTCATTCGCATGTAATTTTCCACCGAAACGTTTTATACTTGCCTTTACTACTTGAAATGGACTTTACAGGAGTGTTTGAATTACTCAAATTAGTCCTCCCCAATTTGTCCCTTCTATTTGCCCAAACTGTTTAAATCTCCCTTCTCCTATCATTACCTTGCAACGTTGGATAATCCAGTAGATATTTCTTGGCAGTCGAAAGTGGAATTGAAATAACTATTTATTGGCCATTATTGATGGTCCTACGAAGGGTTTCACCCATCTCTGTATGTGTATTATCTGCCTAGTTATTATTGTTAATTGGTAACCATGTGTAGTATTTCCACTATTATTTTACCAAATGTGATTTAGAGTGTTTTAAACTTGTTATTTCAGATGTCAGATTTTAACTTTTCATGTTTTTATTTTGCCTAGGTGGCTGACAGATGTTTCGAGGAACACATGTACGAGCCAGCAAAGCTCCTTTACAACAATGTGAGCAACTACTCTCGTCTAGCTATTACCCTTGTTCATCTTGGCGAATATCAAGGTGCAGTAGAGGCTGCACGCAAAGCCAACTCAACTCGCACGTGGAAGGAGGTTTGCTTCGCTTGTGTCAATCACGGAGAATTCCGCTTGGCGCAGATGTGCGGTCTGAACATTGTTGTCCATGCTGATGAACTTGAAGATTTGATTAAGTATTATCAACAACGTGGTCACTTCCAACAGCTCATTACCCTCTTGGAAGCTGCTTTGGGTCTAGAGAGAGCTCACATGGGAATGTTCACTGAACTAGCTATTCTCTACTCAAAATTCAAGCAAGAAAAATTGCGCGAGCACCTTGAGCTCTTCTGGTCAAGGGTTAACATCCCTAAGGTGTTGAGAGCAGCTGAACAAGCCCACCTCTGGGCTGAGCTTGTCTTCCTCTATGATCGCTATGAGGAATATGACAATGCGGTTCAGACCATGATGGCCCATCCCACAGAAGCCTGGCGCGAAAACCACTTTAAAGACATGATCACCAAGGTGGCCAATTTGGAACTCTACTATAAAGCCATCCAATTTTATCTAACCTACAAACCTCTACTCCTCAATGATCTTCTCACTGTTTTGATCCCACGTCTGGATCATACTCGTACCGTCGCTTTCTTCACAAAGAATGGCCACATTGCCTTTGTTAAGCCCTACCTCTGTGTTGTGCAACAAAGTGGTGCTAATAATAAGTCCGTTAATGAGGCGCTGAACGCACTCTTGATTGAGGAGGAAGACTATCAGGCTTTGCGGCATTCGATTGAAACCCATACCAACTTTGATAACATTGCTCTAGCCCAAGCTCTTGAGAAACACGAGCTCACTGAGTTTCGCAGACTTTCGGCTCTCCTGTACAAGGGTAACAACCGATGGGTGCAGAGTATTGAGCTGTGCAAACGGGATAAACTCTATCGGGTTAGTTCACAAGAAGCAGTTTAATAGCGTAGTAGAACGATTCTAATATTGCCTCTTATAGGATGCCATGCAATATGCGGCCGATTCTCGTGATCCTGAAACAGCTGAAGATCTTCTTCGATGGTTCTTATCAGAGAACTTACCTGATTGCTTTGCAGCTTGTCTCTACCAGTGCTATGATCTTCTGCGACCTGATGTTGTGCTTGAACTGGCTTGGCGTAATGGTCTCACGGATATGGCTATGCCCTTCCTTATTCAAACTATGCGCGAACTTACTACTAAGGTGAGAAGGGATTTTAGTCTTGTGAAATGTTTGATCTTATAACGGCGTATCGTTCCATGCACACTTCTATTAAGTATGAAGTCCCGGTTGGGGTACTCACATTTTTGTGTCTAGTGAGAATTACAGATTGTAAGTTCCCCACTAAGGGGACTCCGGGATTCAAATCCTCTGCCTATGCTGAGTTCTAGGGAAAATTAATTTAAGCTGCTTGTAGACTAATGGGGACGTGGCAAAATGGTGGATTTACCAATGGGGAATGCGTTATCTCAGTAATGCTATTTGATCGATCAAATGTTGTTGATTGGTACCCCATCTATTCACATGTAGTAATTGAAACTTTGGTTTATATCACAACGCGTATTTGTCCTTCGCTCCAGTTTTATCACCTTAGCTACTCTGTAACAAGATTTGATAATCCATGATGAGATAATGAACTTAGCTGCTTTCTCTACAACTTTTAAAAGTAAACAAAACGTATTTACTATTCCCCAAAGGGTTGTTTGCGGTGGTAATAAGTCTTAGCTACGGCGCCTCATCGTGTATGCTAATCTCTCGCTGGTTGATTTTATTTCTTTTCGGACAATATTATGAAGGTCGTTCCAAGAACCAACCGTGAAGTTGATTTTTTTCTCCTTAAATAATTCTATGATAATGTAAATTTAAACGGGATTTCTCTTACGATCTTTGTGAAGTAATTTCCAATAGAAGCAAGTTTTTTTCACGTAGTAATTCTAACTTTCCTTAAGAGGTCAATCGTGCGCGTTTCTCATATGCGTTAGCCTGTGATTCAATCGAAATAGATTATTTTGGTGTATTAACCTCGTAATATTTTGTTTGTTATTTTAGCTGGTCATCGTAAAGGCGGTAACAGAGATCGATGCTATCGGAGTCAGAATTTAGTCGAATGTTTTGTTCTAGAACGTTCGTAATACCTTAACAACAAGATTGATTTATGTTTGAGAGCACTTATTTTCTGAAATTTTACTCTGAGGGGTATGAATATAATATCTATATCACGCAGACAGATATTCAATATAACTTCATGTCATTTGGTGGTAGTTACGCAACTTGCTATTTTTTCGACAATTCATGATTTGAGAATATTATAAAGAACTGCAGTTAGTTACGCTTCTTTAGTTTGGTGTCTTTTATCTTCAAATTTGTCTATTTAATGCCAATGTGGTATAAATTTACCCAAATATGTTGGTGGGATCCGATGTTTTTTAACAGAGAGTCTCCATGACTATATTCTACTACCCCAGCGGAGTGTTATGGGGCGTATTCTTAGTGCATGCTTCTTTTTTCCCTCTCAACCAATAAGTGATGACTGCTTCGGTAAACTTTGCTCTCACGTTTTAGCAGGTTTCTATCTTTCTCGCAGAAATTCACCCTCCCTTGTGTCTGTTGTGTGCATAAACCGCGAGCTTACAACAGTATCGATGACTAAACTTGGCACACACGCACACACACACACACCGCGTCGTTCTTTGGGTGTGCTTGAGCTTCGCATACACTTTTCAATTGTTTGCTTACATTTGCATTCCACTCTCTTTACAGATCGATCATTTGGAGAAATCTGAGCGAACTCGTACAGAGGAGGAAGAAAAGAAGGAGCAGGCAGTAAATCCCCTTGTACTTCGTAAGTATCTGTGTATTTCCTCTCGCTCTCATTTTGCTTAAAGGTTCGCTATCTCTCTCCCCCTCTCTGGGTTTGACGTACGCACTTGTGACCGTTTCTCTCGGCCAGCCAGCGCCGTGTTGTCTGCAGCAGTGGCTTTAGTAGTTGGGCCGGGTGGCACGGTCGCACCTGCGCGCTCTCGCCTCGCGTAATTTAAATCGATGAGCGAAAGAGATGCGTAAACCGATGCGCGTGAAGTGTTTGGCCTCCGCAGCTTAGCACTGGCCTGGCCTGGTTTCTTATATGCGTCGTTTTCTCAACTGTGCCCATAGACACGGCTTTTTATTCCGAATGAAATCAATGTTTTAACTTATTGAGTTGACATGTAAAGGAATCTGAAATGGGATCTAAAGTTTTGGGAACCATCGGGAAGATTTATTCTACTCGTGTTCAGAAATGCACACCAATTAATAAGCCCCTTTTGTGCTAATATTCTTGCTCTGCGACTTAGACATGAGATCCACGCCCATCGGTGTAGATTGCATGCTTTAGTAGATTTAATTGCAAACTCTAATTGAATATTTACTAATAACTGATGGTTATTTCTTTCTACATGTTTAATTGGGCCAAATAAACTTTCATTATACTGCACTAATTACAGTTCCCGGGATGTAATTTCTTCTTTATCTTCTGCACAGTCACTCAAAGAAACTCAACTAAACTTGGTAAACAGATCCCCCACCACTCTTCATTAAATCGATCATCATATTTGCCCGTTTCGCTTATTTAACCTAACCTAATCTAACCTTCTTGTCGCATCTGTGACGTTTTTTTAAATTGGAGGTAAAAGCTAGGTCGGTTTGGGTGGGAAACGGTGGCATTTTTCCCATTTGGCTACCCTGCTCTCCTTGTTCACAAAATGTTAGAATTGATTAGTAATAATACTAGATGTCGATTTGCATGGCCAAGGTTTTTCTTATATTTTCACAAATTCGCGCCTGATAGACCATTTCTATCCGCGCTGCTTTGGCGATCTTGAGCATTTTTCATATCGAAGGTCTAGGGTTGGATTATCATGGACCTACATCCGCTGGTGTGGGTACCCAATGGCCCTGGTTTGTTCTGGCCAACAAAAGTGACTGTAGGAACAAATCCATTGTAGCCTTCCTCTATCCTCAAGTCAAGTACAATGACCACCTCCAATGAGCTTGTGTATTTGCTCCGTTTCTCTTTTCGTAATCAAGTATTCTTCAAGGTATTCTTTAACTTGTTCTACAATCGATGAAAGTTAACTTTTTGAATCGCGCGAGTTGCTACTGTCTGTCATGCACTTCGTTAAAACAAGATGTTATTCGACTTTCTGAGAGTTTGATTTGTGCCTAATTTTGTGGGTCCAAAGTCACATTAAGAGGCTTCTATTTTTGGCTATCTTCATTAGGCAAAGCATTCAGGGTCTATTTTTAGTATGGAATTAGTCCTAGTTAGACACTAAAGGACCATTAATCTTAGAAGCATCAGACTAGACCTAATCCGTTAAGCAACTACGCATGTGTAGTGCCGGACTTGTGTCTATGTGTTGCACATATGAGTAATCAGTTTTGCTTCTATGTCTGTTTGTTCACCCCTTCTTTAGCACCTCCATTACCTAGACGAAATCCATTCCTTGCCTTAAATTCCCCGAACTGTAAGTTTATCGCTGGTGCTAGTTTGTTTTAGCGGTGTTACTGTTATTTTATACACGGCTTCTCTTTATAGTGGTACTGCTTTTTATTTAGCTTTTGAGTTTCTTTTCTTTATTTCTTTTCACCGTAGATACGGACGGCCCGTTAATGCTGACAAGTGGAATGATGGGAACCCAGTCAGGTGCTTATGGAGGTCCATTGATGCCCCCAGGTGCCCCTGGTAACGCTTTCTATCCCACAAATGGGCCATCCTATTAACCAACCCGTCCGCCTTTCACTTTCCCAGGTGTCTGCACATAATATATTTAAATCGTCGCATAATTTGCTCTCCTCTCCCCCCTTCCATTATCGATTTTTCTCATTACTGCGTCATTCCATTACTACGTCTTGCTTGTGGAAGCAAGGACACCTGTTGTTATTGTCCCTATCTGTTTGTCTTTTATACCCTCCTGCTCTGCATTCGTTTTTCCTGATTGCGTATATTAATTATATATATATAAATATATATAGCCAGCAAAACATTTGACGAAAAATAATAGACCAGTGATTATATGAGAATCGGTAACTGTCGCGAAACAGGTGTTGTTCCTTCTATCCCTCTGCAAGTTCCCTCCCCGATCACTTTGGCCTACTTAGTACTATTAACTTACTGTTTCTCTCTCTCTGTGTGTCTCGAAACTTCTCTTCCTCTTTTCATTGCCTCTAACTCTTCCACTGACTTTCGTTTTGGTCCAATTCGAATAAGTCTTTTGTCTGTTTCTCTGTGTACTTGCTTGCTTCTTAATGGTGTTGGGCTATTGCTAAATTGAATTCAGAAAGCGAAAAGAGGCATTCAAATCCTTTGAAAGATTACCTTTTTATTACTGGCTCGATGTAACCAATCGGTAATTTTAGCCTTGGTTGTTTCGTTATTTGGCTCAAATGAGCGCTTAGTTGGTGGAGAGAAACGGAGGCGAATTCTCTCAATTTGTAAGCTTATCAAGTGTGGCTATTTTACGAGATGGACGCACCCCTTGCAGGTAGACTCGAAAGTACTCTTGTTTTAATTAGGGCGGTTTTAAGTAAAATTTGTTGCTATCAAGGCGCTGGTAGGTTATTAAGCTTATTAATCAATTTTTAATAAGAGCAAGTCCATAGAATACTATTTTTGAACTAGACACGGTTAGTGCTATTCCCATTCAGAGTCAGTCGTGTGTAAAATATTGTGCGAAATTTGAAGTACTAAGTTCTTAAGGTTATTTAGCTCTGCTGGTTTTAAATGATTGTCTAGAGCACGAAAAGTCTTTGAAGTCGAAGGTTACTTGGCATAAATAAAATCTGATGACGTGGGGCATCGTTATCGGTTACCTTAGATCCTTCGTTATTTTAGTGGGTTTACGCATAATTCATCAATTAAAATAGGTTTGGAACCATCTAAAGTGGTGCGACTTTATTCTTATGGGCTTAAAATAGCACCGCTTATCGATAAAACGCTAACAGGAGATATTATCATCTAGGCTTTTGTAGATAAGTTAGCTAAATAAAAATCTATATTCCCAATAATATCGCGGTATTTGGTTGTGGTAACCGGAGCCAAAGAATCGGACCATAAAATAACATAGCTTTGAGAGCAAGAGAAAATCCCCCCCCCCTGAGGAATTTGAAAATGGCAAATCTCACTAATGGTTCAGTTTTCTTTGGTTCTGATTCCACACCATTTATGAAATCTACATTAATTTGGCGGTGATAGGTTTTAACAGAAAGAAACTTGTAGCCAAAACGACGTATTTCCTTACTAAGAGATAAATGTGCCAACACAGGTTTAGATTAGTAAAGAGCTCTCGGCTGCATGACTAACACAATAATCAATAAACAAGTGCACCAGGAACGGAAGTGCGAACGGTGTTCAAGTCAAGATACTCAACTCAGTAGATTTTCGACATTTAAAACGGTAATGGTTTAAGCTTGGACAAATCGAAATCATCATTTATTTTATTTATATCAAATGGCCGGCGTTTTGATGGTTATCATTAGCCCTTTAATTGACTTCAGGTTTCACGAGGGTAAGGAACATCAAAGTGAAAATAAGTCGAGAGGGGGGAAGGAACAGAGGAGTGTTTTCAAAATGTAAATGAGACAGACATAAAGGTAGAAAAAGGTGAGGCGAGTACTGTGAAAATAGTCGAATATGACATACAGTGGGGTGATGGCATTTTAAAGTCAAAGTCAACTGCCAGTTAATAGACTTTTTTGCCGTATGAGTATACGTTGCCCAGGGTGCACCACGTGGAGGTAAGTCTATTGCACACCCCATATGCCTAAAGATTGATGGATTATAGCACCATC